AACGCAGAGCTGGGGGACACGGGGCGGGGATGGGAACGTGGGGTGGGGTGAACAGTAGAGGGGCGCGGACGGGGTGAGTCGGCACGCAGAGCAAGGGGAAGCGGGTCGGTGATGGGACTGCGGAGCCGGGGGATCCCGGCCAGAGGAATGGGACGCGGACCAGAGAACGCGGGAGTGGGGGGGAGGGGCGGGGGAAAAAACGGGCCTGACTTCGGAGGACGCGGGGCCTAGGGAAACGCGGCGCTCGAGCCTGACTGAGGGGACCGTGGGGCCCAGGGAGACGCGAGCCGGCCTGGGAGGAATGCGGTGGACGGGCCTGAGAGGGGCACGCGGGGACGACGGGAACTCGGCCGGGAGGGGAGCTGGGAGACGCGGAGCGGGCTGGAACGCGGCCGGACCGCGGGAAACAGGGGAACCTGGAGGAAAGATGGAGTGGAATCCCGGCCGGACTGTGGAACCCGGGGAGAGGAGGTCAGGGAAGTGGGGGTAAAGATGGGGGCCGAGGACCCGGTATGAAACGAAAGGCTGACGGGCCTGGGGAGAAAAGCGGGGGTCGGGGCTTGGGGGTGGGAAAATGTGTCCTCCGGCACCCTCGGGTCCTCGTCCCTTCCGGTCAGATGGATGGCCAACATGGATCCGGCAAGGAGAGAAGATTGGTTTTAGAAGTTGCCTGGTCCCTGTGGTTGTTGGTGGCCTTGGAGTCCCCCACTGGGCTCAGCTAACAGCAGTGCCCAAGCCTCCAGTTAATAACGATCCCCACCCCCCGCACTCGAGGCTGCCCAGGTCCCTTGTCTTTTCCTGCTCCCTGCCCAGACATTTCTCCCAGTTGTTTCCTTCCGCTTTGGGTCTAACTTGGACCCAGGGTAGGAGAAGGACTTAGTAAATTGCCCGGGGCCTCGTTGTTGGTGACCTTGGCTTTTCTCCCTGGACCCAGCCAAGTACAGTCCCTCCAAGGTTGCCCAGGTCCCTTTCCTTTTCCTCCTTGCGGAGGCTTTTCTCCCAGTTCAAACTCATTTCCTCTCAGTAGACAAGCCTTTCTATGAAACGGGTCTAGGTACCCATGCTGGCCTCAGGCTCAGGATCCTCCCAAGATTTCAGGAAAGCACCACCAAGCCTGTTTCCTAGCACGTGATTCCCATCTTCTTTTCAGTCCCCAGTCCCTCCATTTCTGTTCGTACCCAAGCTCCTGTTTGTCAGTCCACTACCTCGCTGTGCTTTTCTGCGTTTACTTCTCTTCCACTTACCAGTTCCAGAAACCTTGTATGTCCCTTCTCTCCTTGGGCCTCCTAGAATATACCTGCCTTTTGCCAACTGTCCATTTTTGTACCCCACCTTTCTTCTATCTCTTGTTCTCCGCTGCCGGCCTTTCCCCTCCTCACCCTCTGTTTGAATTTGCCAGGCCCTATTCACCCTCCATTTTATACTGGCATTTAAAAAATTTTTGCTTTTCTCCCCACCTACAGCCTCAGGGTTCCCGTTTTATCCTGATGTTCTGGCCTTTTTATTTTTATGTGTATGAATGTTATACCTGCATGTGTGTAAGTGCACCTATGTCATACAGTGCCCGTGGAGGTCAGAAGAGGGTATCGGATCCCCTGGAACTGAAGTTACAGCCGTGTGGGGTTGCTGGGATTTGTACCTGGGTCTTCTTGCAAGAGCAGCCAGTGCTCCTAAGCGCTGAGCCTTCTCTCCAGGACTGTCATGGCCTTTTCCCACTACCCTTTCCACGTCTTTTTAACCTCCCTTGTCACAAACCACCCCCGCCATTTTCATGTGTGTGCATGCATATGCTTGTGGAAGCCAGAAGTTGTCTGCCTCAATTGCTCTCCATCTAATTTTTTGAGAGAAGGTCTCAACCTGAAGCTCATCATTCTGGCCAAGCTGGGTGGCCAGCAAGCCCCAGGGATCCTCCTGTCTCCCACCCCAGCACTGGGATTAGAAGCTCATACAGGCAAGCACTGCCCCCAAGTCTCCCTTCTCTACTTTTCTTCTGTCCTTTATCTCCCAAATTCCCTTTCCATGTGTCTCCAGGTCCTCATTCTAATTTCTTTTTTCTTTTTTTATTTATTTTTTGGTCTTTTGAGACAGGGTCTCCCTGTCTGGCCTGGAACTTGCTATGTAGACCAGACTGGCCTTGAGCTTAATGAGATCCACCTACCTGCCTCTGCCTCAGGAATGCTGGGATTAAAGGCCTGCATGCTGGTGAAATAGCTGGCCTCAGCTGTTTTCCTTTTGAGCTGCTGGGGATCAAACCCAGGGCTTCCCACATGGTAGTTAATAAGCACTCTACCAATGAGCTCCATCCCTGACCTGACCCTTTACATTTGTATGTATTCAGTATGCATAAGTCATGGAAAGTAAAGTGATAAGGGGAACAATACCGTTTTTGATATTAGAAAGTCAGCCGGGCATGACAGCACTCACCTTTAATCCCAGCATTTGAAAGGCAGAAGCAGGTGGCTCTCTGTGCCAGCCTGGTCTACAAAGCGAGTGCCAGTCCAGCTTGGGATACAGGGAGACCCTGACTCAATAAATAAATAAATAAATAAATAAATAAATAAATAAATAAATAAATAGGCAATAATCTGGGGGAGGGGGCCTTTTTCTGGCACATACTTTTTTCAAATCTTTTTTCGTACATGTATGGGGGGGGCATGCCATGGCATGTGTGTAGAGGCCATCAGACCCTTGCTTAAATTGGTTCTCTCCTGATACCATGTGCTTGGCACCAAATCCTTTATCCCGAGTCATCTCACCAGCCCTGGTTGATTGGTGTTTTGAGACAAGGTCACTATAGCCTAGGCTGACCTCAAACAGCAATCCTGCTTTAGTTTCCCAAGTATAGGGATTACAGGCATGAATCCCTTTTCCCCAATCTTTACTAATTAGGTGTAAATCACAATCACTGAAACATATTTAAAAATAACTTTATTCCAAAATCTTAACAAAATCTATAATCTTAGAACTAATTTCTCCCAACTTTCCCCTATCAAATCATAAGGTTTTGTGGTTTTGTGTTTTGTTTTTTCAGCAGTTGATTGCCAGTCCTGTGCGAGAATATTGTTTGGCACTTACTCGGCACTCTAAGTTCTACCCAGCAGGGATGACCCTCCAGGGTTAGGGTGCAGGTTGTGGAACACTTCCATTATGTGTTTCCTGCTGCAGTTGTCAGACCTGTATGCGCTTTTGAGAAATGGAGCTAATATGAAAGCCACAGGAGTCCTGAGCCCCTCCCCCATGTCCACTGGGTTTTAAGGGATTGAAATAACCCTGAAGTGTCTTTCTTCCTGGTTCTGATAAGTGGATCTCAAGGTCTCTGAGTCAATACATGCAGATTTATTTTTAACTTCACAAATTGGACCTGCCCACACAAAGGCTGTAACCCATGGTCCACATGCTTTGGAGTCTGGATATGGATCATGTTAAGGCAAAGAAAAGGGGAGCTCCAATTCTTTATAAATTCTTAAAACATGAAGCACTTTCATGCCCTGGACTCTTAACCTGCCATTTTATAAATGTGCACACAGGCTCATAAAAGTGTCAGCCACAGGTCAGCTGGTCAGGGCTTCAGACTAGCATTTGGCACCAAGCCCTTAAACCTCCCATTTGGTAGTGAAAAAACACTCAAATATTTCCTATCACCAGGTGTGTGTGCAGAATAGGAAGTTGTAGAAAGCATCCAGTGATCTTGCAAAACATTTCCTTGTGTTCCCAGCTAGTGATTTCCCTCTTGTTTTCTTTTGTTAAAGTTACCTCAGGTAGTAGATGAATTCAAGAACTTGGTTATTAGGACTACAAGGGAGACCAGCTCCATCTCCAATGGAAGCAACCTGAGTATCTCATTGTGAAATGACATTAAGAAAATTAACAGACTGGAGTGATCCAGTTTGTGAGGTGTACAGCAGGAGACCCAGCCAAACAGAACTGAACTTCACAGCATTCCTGAGGGCTTAAAATCATAGCTAGCCTTACCACCCCCCTACCCCCTGCAACCCCACCCTGTGCCATGAGCTGGGGACAGGCATACTGGCAGTGGTTTCTTCAGTTCAGACCCTGCATTCAAGAAAAACATATTCCCACCCACATCTTGCAGGTAACTTCAGATAACCAGCTCCTCATCTCAGAAGGCCCAGGTTCTAGACAAAGGAAGTTCTCCTTTAAGCCTATATTGCCCCTTTTGAGCAGGATATGCACAAGTACAGAGTGCAAATTTCAAGTCAGATTTTCATATTTAGCACACATCTATTGCACCCTTAGAAGATCCCTGACTTCAAGACATTTAGATGGAATTAAAAAAAAAAAAAAAAAACCCTCAATGATCTAGCAGAGAGTTTAACAACCCCAGCTCATCAGCCCTATTTTCATCTGAAACTGAAGTGTCACTGATCAGTGCATCCTCCTATTGAGGGGGAAGGAAACACATATTCCCATTTTCAAGATACAAAAAAACTGACTGGCAAGTCCCGAGTTCTTCACACCAGATACTCTTATGAAATGTTTCTCTTGTCTCCTTTGCAAAGTGCAGGAGACATAAGGAAAGGAAAGCTGAAAGCTGACCTTAGGTCCATCATTTAGGAGGCTTCTCTGTATGTGTAAAGTTCTGCCACATGGGAGATGAGAAGGAAAGACACTTCCTCTTACCAGCTCCTACAGCTCACATATCTCCAAGGAAAAGAATCATCATGAGGGCACCCTGGAGGGCCACTGAGCACCTCCCTGGACACTTTTACATCCAAAATTACCTTCTTCATTTAATCCCCAGGAGCTTGGTAGGTAGGTGCTACTTCACCTATGTTACAGATGGGGAAACAGAGGCCCAAGGGAGAGGCAAGCAGCAAAGAACCAAGTTCCCGATTAAAGCCAGAGTGTCTGACTGCCAAGCCTAACCCAAATTGCCTTCTGGGAGCTGACATCACTGCTCCAAGCTAGCTGCTGGCTCCCTGCCTGAACAGTAATAGGAGGTCTTCTGTCCCTCCCCCCTCCCCCATATTCCTCTTAGTATTGGGCAAGCTGGTTGCAAATCTTGAATGGGCCCAGGGCACAGATAAGAAGTGCTCCCCTGACCCGTGTTCCTCAAATCACAGTAAGCCTCGATAGAGCCAGGCATCAGCAAAGTGGCACCTCGGACACCACCGCAGCTTTCCTCCACACTTGCTGCTCCTTCCCGATGTGTTGTCACACTGTTGAGGAAACTTACAGCAATGAAATCAGTGAAAAACAGCAGAAGGAAAGATGTGTGTGTGGGCTGCTGCTTCACTGGGAGACCCCAGCTGTGGCTAATGCAAATGCCCAGGCAGCAGTGAATCCAGTCAAATCTGAAGGACAAGCTCATCTTCAGTAGAGCTATCCAAGCTTGCAAGACAAGACTGGACCATCCTCTTCATCAAACTGGCTCTTGAATAGTGTAACTTTGCTGTTCATCATTGTCATCTGTTCAGGGGTAAAACAGACCAAACTGAATGATCTCAACAGCCTGGGACTCTTTTTCTCCTATCATCTTCTATCATCTCAAAAACTTTTGGCTGTTTCCTGGTGAGCTGTGGAATTAGGTTCCACCGAGGAAGCGAGGCAAGGTGTGAAACAATCTCTCCCTCGAGGTCTTGTTTTGTTGTGTTGTGTTTTTTTTTTTTTTTTTTTAAAGGCGGTCTCATGTAACCCAGGCTGCCCTTAAATTCACTATATAGCCAAGGATGACCTTGAACTTCTGATCCTCCTGCATCTGCCACCTCCAGTGCTAGAATAACAAGTTATGTGCCATCACATCTGATTTTAGGTAGTGCTGGGGATCAAACCTAGGATTTTGTGTGTACTAGGCAAACATTCTACTAACTGAGCTACATTCCTAGCCCCCTGGAGTGGGAGTTCTTTTGTTTTTGAAGGATTTCATGTAGCTCAGGCTGTTCTCAAATTCATAATTTATGTAGCTCAGGATAACTGCATTCCTGATTCTCTTGCCTCCACCTTCCAAGTGCTGGGATTACAGACTCTCACCACTGCACTGACAATCACCTATTAATTCAGAATCTTCCAAACATCCTTGGTGTTGCTACCCATCATGCCCCAGGCTCATGTCCTCAATTGAAATGCCCTCTCTCAATATACTTATTTAAACTCAAATGCCCTTCCAGACTTGCCTCCTAGCTACCTCTTCCATAAAGCTGCTCCTGACCCATGCACCCCACCCAGCTCTCATCTTTCTCTGAGGCCCTGGAATTTTTAAATCTACCATCCATCACAGAACTGACCAAATCCTTCCTTTAGAGCAGCTCCTCTATTGCTCTTTCAGTGCTGGATACACTTTGCTGGATACACTTCAGTGTTTCCCACGCATTTTCATGTGCTTAGCCTACTGGTCTTATAAAGCTCCCCACTGACAGACTACATAGGTCTTCCTTTTCAATTCAGCAATACCAATATCATATCTTCCTAGGGTGAGCTCTGATGTCTGTTGATTTATTTTCTGTATTTGCAGTTAGTGTTGATTATCATATCCAAAATGCCTGGGACAAGAAGTGATTTGGATTTCAGATTCTGGAAAACTGGCATATACAGAATGAGAGCCCTGGGCTAGGACCCAAGGTTAAACATGAACTCTACAAGTATTTCATATTCTCTTTAAATACATAACTTGAAGATCCTTTCACAGCATTTATTATATTTATTGTGTGTATGTGTATGGGGAGGTGCCTGCGTGTAGAGATCAAAGGACAACTCGTGGGAATCAGTTCTCTCCTTCTACCATGTGAGTTCTGGGGATGGAGTGCAGATCCTCAGGCTTGGCAGCAAGCACCTTTATCCACTGAGCCATCTCGCATGCCCCATTTAATATACTGTTTTAAATAATCACATACATGAAACAAAGTTTGTATATGTTGAGCCATCAGACTCATGGCATAAGCTGACACTCAAAAATACTTTGTATTTTTGGAATGGAATGTACAACCTACAGTGGGGTCTCAGGTTCTAGACTAAATTTTAGCCGTCTTCCCCAGCCTTGAAGAAATCATACATAATCCTTACAGACATCTTCCTGAGATGATCACTGCACAGATGTTAAAGGAAAGAGCTTACCCTGTAGGTCCTGCAGTCCGTTTCCCATGTGGTCTAAGTTACCATTGACCAGCGCAGTCACCCTGTGAATGTGCCCATGCTTGCATACTTCTTTTGGCAATTCCTCTCTCTCATTCGTCTCCTGCTCCACCTCTTCAATAGCATTTTCCTCTTCTTCCTCATCCTCCTCGTCTTCTTCCTCTTCTGAATCCACCAAAACCATGACATCACCCATGTCTTGTCCCCTAATTTCCAAAGAGGGAAAATAACCAAGAAGCGCCATCTTGTTTATCCCAACTTTAGCTCTCAGTAAACAACACTGGATTTCCTTTAATCCCTTTAATACTATGGAAAGGTCCTGCAGTTGGCATGGCTAAGTGATGTGATGGCAGTGAGAATGTAACCTCGTGAAGAGATGAGGCCATACATTGCTAGAGCATGTATGTAAATGCTGCAGTCTGCACTGAGGATGTAGCTCAGTAGAGTGCTTGCCTACCATGCCCTGGGTTTGATCCCCAATACCATGCAACTAGGCATGGTGGAGCATGCTTGTAATCCCAGCACTCCAGAGGTGGAGGCAGGAGATCAGAAGTTTATGGTCATCCATGGCTACATGGCGAGTTTGAGGACAGTCTAGGATACATGAGACTCTGTCTGAAAGAAAGTAAGAAAGCTGTAATCTTTACTGAAATGGTCCTATTTGTCTCCCTTCCTGGGAGCTCTCCTGATCCTCATTACTTAAGGCCCGGGTGAGCTCTTCTCCTTCCAATTGCATTTGGGCTCCATGCCCAGAGTCTTAGCATTGAATTGTTCTTAGTCTACTGCTGCCTGGCCTACCTAGCCAGGCTGTACGGTTCCTATGGAATGAAGGCTGTGTTTCACGGACCCACCATAGTCCTGGGAACATTAAATTCTGACTTCATCCTTGTACCCCTCTGTGAAATAGATGAAGGGATGGAAGGCTCACAGAGGGTCGGGAACAGTCCTAGGACTGGCATAGCTGTAATTTGAGCCCAGGGCCACTAATTCCAAAGCCATTTCTCACAATGCCACTCCAGTGAATAGTAGGCCCAGGAACAACAAACATGCCAGGATAATGGCTTTCAAATGCAGGCTGGTAAAGGGAATGATTTCCCATGAAAGATGGTTCTGGAGCAATAATATCCCCTCATGAAGAATGAGAAAGAGGAACTACTGGTCCACAGATGACAAAGAAGAGCTCTTTGTTTGGCACCTTGAGGAATGAAACGCACTGAGTTCCATTTGTTTACTTTGCCCTTACTGGATTTGCCTGAGAGGGTGGGAACTTCTGGTCATGCTCAGACTTGTCTTCTAAGACAGCAAACATCTAAGTGTTAGTAGCATTAAAAACAAGTCTTTCTGTAGGAAACAGTAATTTTAAAATGAAATGGAGATCTTTTTTAGAGGTTAAAAACTCATTCAAGTTTATGTCTTACAGGGTTTATACTGAATTCAATATTGTATAACTGTATTAATTCAACTGTGAACCTAAAAATTAACAGCCACTTTTGAAAGAGAGGTATCTTTACTCTGGAAATTGTTATTGAATATGCTTCTTCTAATCTTGTGGTTATTAAATAAATTTTTTTAAAAAATATTTAAAAAAAAAGAAATACATGCATAAATCATGAAAACAAACAAACAAAATCTCTACAACTATGACTTGGTCTCCCTTTTGACTCATTTTAGAAAATGAAATAAAGCAAGCGCATGAGTGGCCTGGCTCAGTGTGTACATACCACCTTCATGTTCCAGTGACAGGCGTGAAGTGTGCCCAGCCCTCAGGTCCCACCATAAATGAGCACAGGACTTTGGAATCAGACCTGGGTCAGACTATAGACACTACCATTTGCTTCCTGCGTAAACTTTCAGAAATTACTCCAGAATCCTTCCATCTTGTTAGGAAAACAGAAATGCCACCCCCTGCCCCCAAGAGGTCGTCAAGATGGGAGGTTTACCATAATGCCTCAGGAAACTCCTAGCCCAGGGTCAGGCACATGGTTGGTCCCCATGAGAGATGCTATTATTGTTCTTAGGAATCAAAACAGCAGGGAAGATAAATTATGGAGATGGGCTTTCAATAAGTCTAGAGGACACTCACCTGAAAGTGCTTCCTGCTGAAGAGAGAAGGAAAACAGAAATGAATATCCAGCCGCATCTCAGTCTCACAAGTTTTTAATCGCTGGGCATGGTGGCGCACACCTTTAATCCCAGCACTCTGGAGGCAGAGGCAGGCAAATCTCTGTGAATTCAAGGCCAGCCTGGTCTACACAGTGAGTTCCAGGCCAGCTGGGGCTACAGGGAGACCCTGTCTCAAAAAGACCAAAAAAAAAAAAAAAAAAAGTTTTTAATCAAACTAACATTCAGAAGAATTGGAAAGATGGCTCAGTAACCGTGCTTGCTCTTATAAGCATGAGGACCAGAGTTCAAATTCCCTAACACCCATGTAAAAAGTCAGGCATAGGTGTGTGCCCCTAACTCAGCATTAGGGGGCAGAGGCAGGCAGATCCCAGCAGCCTGCCTAGCCAAGGGGTAAGACTCTGTTCTCAAGGCAATAAGGTGGACAGTAATAGAGGAAGATACCCAGCCCTACTCTGGCCTCCACATAAGCACACATGGGTGCATAAAACATACTCATGTGCACACATCATACAATAAATTTAAAAAGATTTAAAAAACTATCATTGACAAAAAATGAACAGCCGGAGAGGTGAGGAGGATGCTTGGGGGTGATACTTAGGCACCTCATTATTGCACATTTTGAGCCAAAAAAGAATCAGAAGGATAGGGCATCAGGTGGGAGCCAGGCACATAGGTATCCTCCCACCCACACGTTTTTTTTGAATCCCGAGAGAAGCAGAGGCATCCAGCTGGCTCTTACCTTTCCAGCAGAGCACAGGGCTGTAATACAGCATGAGCCCTGAAATGATGGCCAGTCCCAGCAGAAGGAGGCTAACAATGGTCCCCACAATGCCCCCAATGTTCAGAGGTTCTGTAAAGAGAGCACAGCATGAGCCCTTCCACCTGACAGCTGTGCACCCAGGGGCCTAAAACCTGCCCTCTTCAGCCCAAGCTGGGTTCTTGTCCTGTTTCGGTTTCATGTCCTTAAACAGAACCGTATCAACTCCCTGTAATAAGATTCCGACCTCATCTCCCCACCACAGGCCAAGAGAGTTTATGGAATCAAATGAAGTACATAGTAGGAAGAACACTGGAAGGTTAGATCCCTGTGTGGACCAGATGCCAACACTGTTTTCTGGAACACGAGAGTGTGAGTTAGTGCCACAGTAAACAAGGTAACCAGTGGAACAGGCAGAGAATTTAGGAACTGGCCACACATAGAAAGAAACTTGATGCGTGGGTGTAGTGACACAAGCCAGAGGCAGGAGGATCCCAAGTTCCAGGCCAGTCTTGTCTGCAGATTAAGTTCCAGGACAGCCAGAGCTGCATAGCAACACCCTATCTTAAAAAAAAATGAAAAAGAATAAAGCTTGATTTTGCCACTAATGAACAAAGGGAGAAGAGTCAACAGATAGAGCAAAGTGGGAGGGGCAAACCTGATCCTACCACGTAACACTCAGAGAAAGCAATTCTGCATTAACTGAAGACCTAACCATGAAAAGAAAAATACTAAGACTTCAGGAGAAAAACTGGGCATGATGGCAGACACCCAAACTGCAGGCACTTAGGAGGTTGAGGTGGGAGGATAAGAACTTCAAAGCCATCCTTTACTACATAGTGAGTTCAAGGCTAGCTTGGGCTACATGAGACCCTGTATCAAAACAGAAAGAAAAGGGAGGAAGGGAGGAAAAGAGGGATGAGAGAAGGAGGGAAGGAGAGAGAGGAAAGGAGAATGCCATTGTGACTGGTACACTCCCTAGGTTTTTAAGGTTTGGGGAGTTTTGTTTTGTTCTTAGGGTTTTATTTTTTTGTTTGTCTGTTTTTTTGTTTTTTTTTTTTGAGACAGATTCTCTATAGCCCTAGCTAGCCTGGAACTGGCTATGTAGACCAAGCTGGACTTGATCCCAAAGATCCACCTGCCTGTGCCTCCCAAGTGCTAGGATTAAAGTATGTACCACTACACCTGGCTTCAGGTTTTTAAGCTGTGGGTCATAACTGAAGGTGAAGGTTGAGGGGAAAAATTGACAACAGTAAAGGTTTCTGAATGTGCAACAAGCAAAAGTTAATTCCATTTCAAATGTGGCGTAGGAGGTGTTTCTGGCAAAGCCTGCCAGTGCCTCATGGATCAACTTCACGGCAGCCTTGGTTCTGAACACAATGTGTGGCACTGTGCAGGATGCCAAGGAATGCCAACGAACCCTGCCTGAGATACTACTCCATGCTGTGAGGTGCAGTGTTTTTACTATACATAGAGTTTTTCTGCTCTGTTTAAACATGTTTATTTGTGGGGCTGGAGAGCTGGCTCAGTGGTTAAGAGCACTAGGTTTAGTTCCCACCATGGAGGCTCACAACTATCCATAACTCCAGTTCCAGGGTATCTGATGCCCTCCTCTTACCTAAGTAGGCACTGTATACTTACATACATGCAGGCAAAACATTCATACATATAAAATAAAAATAAATTAAAATTTTATATTTGTTTTTGATTGTGTAAGTGTAGGTGTATTTTGTGCCATAGTATATGTAGAGGTCAGAAGACAACTTTCAAGAGTCAGTTTTCCCACCTTGTTGAGGGGCCTCTCTTGTTTGGGGGGCTGTGCTTTGTACTTCAGGCTAGCCCATAAGCTTCTGAGTGATTCTGTCTCTGTCGCGCATCTCACAGCTAGAGTGCTGGATTTCCAGGCACATGCTACTGCATCCAGCTTCTGATGTGGGTTCCAGGGATTGACTGGGGTCACCAGGCTTGTGTGGCCAACACTCACTGAGTTGTCTCCTCAGCCCAAAGTTTTCTACCCTTATAGAAACATGGCAGTTTAACTAACATACACTATTCCTTAATATATTCCTACTGCCTATAAGTGTCAAATTAGTATTTTGGGGGATTGTACTGTCTTAAAATGTTTGATTTTAAAAACTATTTGAGTTGCTAGCTTGAGTTACATTAAAAAAATAGCTAAGTAAAATTTGGCTTTGGATCAAGACAGAATTTCCAGCAGTTTCTCAAATGTCCCTAAACGTACTTCTGCTATTTTGTACTCTGTATTTATGAAAAGCAGCATTTTCAACATTGATGATTATAAAATCAAATTGGGCTGGAGAGATGGCTCAGTGGTTAAGAGCACTGACTGCATTTCTAAAAGTCCCAGGTTTGATTCCCAGCACCCACAAAGCATCTAATTCCAGCTCCAGGGGACCCAAAGTCCTCTTTTGGCCTCCGTGGGCACTGAATGACACCAGTGCACTTACATACATGCAAGCAAAACACTTATACACATAAAATAAAAATAATTAATTTTAAAAAACCATACTGAAGCCAGGCGTGGTGAAGCATGCCTTTAATCCCAGCACTTGGAAGGCAGAGGCAGGTGGATCTCTGTGAGTTCAAGGCCAGCCTGGTCTACATAGCAAGTTCCAGGCCAGCTGGGGCTACTGGGAGACCCTCTCTCACAAAGACCAAAAATATAAAAAAAGAAAAAACATACTGGGGACCCGAAGGCCTCTCTCCGACCGGCAGGCCTCTCTCTCCCGGGTAAGTCTATCTTGCCCTCCCTACCTTGATTGCCCCAGCCTCACTCACCCTCCCATCTCCCCTGCCAGTCTCTCCTCCTAGCCTGGGCCCTGTCCCATTCCTTGTCTAGGGGCCCCAGATGCCTGGGGAACCACCACTGCTTCTTCCTGATCCTGTGCATCTAGAGCAACTCAGTTACTTCCCAGGTCCCAAGGGGTGCTCTGGGCCTGGCCCCACCCTCATCTTCTGCCTCCCTGGGTCGGCACAACCCAGACAACCTCTTTCCTAGACACGTGCTGACCTTTCCTCTTCCTGGTCCTTTGCATCCAGACCAACCCAGTGCCTCACTGCAGTCCCCAGGGGCCCTTGGAGCCGCCTCCCACCCCCATCTTCCTTTGCATCTCTGGGTGGGACCGCTACCAGCTGCCAGAGACCAGCATCTTCCCTGGGTCTGGCTCCCAGGCCAGTCCAACCCCCAAATTCCTAAGGCCAAAATCTATTCTGGAGGGATCCAGACCTTAGGAGAAAGCCTGAGAGCATCTGATCCTCATCTGACTTGGGCCTCTGTGGGAACTCCTGAAGACAAAAGCAATCTGGCCACTCCA